AAAGTTTTTCAAGACCACCCCTTGGAGCAGGTTGCCTGAATTAAAAATAAATCTAATTCAAAACATTCCCGCAAATCGCGTAAGAGTATGCCTTCCCAACAGGTATCCCAATACGCACTTTCCCCACTTTGCCAAAACCATATAACTGTTCTGGACTTCAACTATTCAAGCTCCCAAGTTTGCTATTTTTGGCTTTAACAAGCCAAACCAAACTAGTACAGCTGAATAAACTAGTCATTTCTGACCAGACTTTTCGGTAGGACGATAGTTGGCTGATACCAAAAAAATATCATTTCCCAGGCTTCGAACCTTGACCATTTCCTACCAAATCCCTCTAGGCACTTCCCGTCATCAGATCGAACGACTCTCGCGTTCTCTCCTTAAGAGTGTTAAGCTCCCAACAACATGTTCGCTAGCTTGGTGTAGTTGGCTATGCGTCCGCTAAGGACGGTTATTGTCTGCAGCATTGCCGAAATGATCAGCAAGGCGGTTCCCGACGAAATCTCCCCTCCTAGGAGTGCTTTTTCAGCAGCCAAAAGCACAACTCGCAGGGTCCAAGTGTTTGGAGAGAGAAATGAAAGTGTGGGCGGCTATTGACAATAAAGGTCAATTGAACAGAATCATTAAAACCAGCATCGCATCAAACTTGCGACTTGCACCATCCACTCACACCCATCACGAGATGTACCAATTACCAATATTCTAGATTGGCTTAAAATGATAGCAGTAGGAGCTTAAACTGGCTGGCAAAGCTCAATTCACCAACCAATGCATTCATCTTAAAACACGACACACAAATGTGCAAGTGTATAGATGGGGTTGACTGAACCACCTTATTTTTACAAGTTTATGTGTGTATATTTTACAGTTGATATCGATTTAGGTTGATCATTTGGCCTTCTTGCTCAGCACAAACGGTTCATTGAAAGCAGCCTGCAATCTACGAACCTTTTGTTCACCAACACCAGGACAAAGATTCAACTCTTCTGGTTTGGCAGCAATGATTTCCTTCAGAGACTATAAGTGAGAATTACGATGCGTATCAGAAAATAACTTGGGAGAGAACTCAGACGGAGACGTTCTTGCTTTCTTGCACGTACACCGAATGTAGTAGCCAAGGTCACAACATCTGTCTTATTCACGGATTTGACTTGAGTCAATACATCAGTCAACTAGGAAAGATAAAAAAAAACAAATGAGTTTGAGATTGACTCAAAGATAGTTGCCGACGGGCAGCCCTCTGGAAACAACCGATGATTTGAAGACGTTGCGTACCTTGGACAAGTAATCCTCATCGACTTGTCCCTTGATGAAATCTGGTGGTTTATTCTCGTAGGCCTTGAACGTTTCCAAGTATCGACCGGCTTCCTCAGCACTAGACGGGAATGAGAACAAACGAATTAGACCAGAGAGCCAAAGATAAAGAAGGTGCCGAAGAACCAAAAGCTGGATGTAGTCGGATGGTTCGTGGCATTCGTCATACCTCCACGCCAAGACCAACGTGAGATTGTTAAGTACGCAAATCTTTGAGAGTTCACGCATGGCAGCTTGATGATCATCCTAAGATTGTGACGTATGGTCTAGTGAGGGAGTGTTCAGCCGGCAGAAAGAGATCTGCCAGCGTGCAAAACCTGTTGCAACGTACCACATCTATCATACATAGTAGTACTCTCAACAAATATGAATGACTTCCCAGTTGTTTCAGACGTGTGTATATATATTCTGGGTGAAGTCGATGGTATTTCAGGCTAAATAAAGAGAGATTAGTCTCAAGACCACGGTTTTGTTTTCTGGTCAGGCCAGTTCAAACGAAAACCACAATTGTTCCAACAATGAGCAAAAGTACGGCGTGACTACCTTAGAAAAAGAGCACACGTTGTCAACCCCATCTGATAATCAGCAGCGATATCAGAGTATTCCCATGCCACATTCCGTATGTTTTTTAATACCAGATTTCCATTCTAGCAAGAAAAGTATGAGCATTCGGTTGGTTCTCTGTTGATGGATGTCTGTGAATTTTGCACAACAACTGTTTGAATGTTCATGATTCTGCCTGCCAAAACAACAATTTGTAACTGAGCTGTTGACGAATACAAGCTTCAAGCTCCTGCGAGCTTACAGACTACTAGATTCCAAAGCTTCCGTAGCTTAAGCAGCTCTCTCATAAATATTACCACTTCCAACACCCACACGAAAGCAGCTTTCAAGCAACCATAACACAGACCAAACCTTCATTAACACTTACTTGATTCGAGTTGACGAGTATAGCATTAGGCGATTTGCGTTGTTGAGGAGCCATTTCGATGATGGGACCGTCAGTTGAACCTGCACCATTTTGAGCACTTGTTGCAACATGCGATGAGGTTGATGCGATAGTAGAAGCAGCAGCATTGGGTGGTTGATATGCTGAAGCTTCCTTTATAAATCCGAATGATTCACTGAATGAGGTTGAAGTTCTCTTCAAAGTATTATTCTCTACTGGAACGGTGACTCCCGGAATAATTAGAGGTGGGTTTGTGGTGATTGGGCGAGTTGGACGGGTTATTTTCACAGCGGATGTAGGTAGAGTAATTGTTCTTGGCTTTATTGGCGAAGCTTGCTGCTGTTGATCTGCGTCCAAAGCGTTGAAATGTTGTGTAAGAGAAATGTGTGCTTTTAATGTCGACGAAAACAGACCAACCGACTAGAAAAGACTACATTAAGACATATACAATATATATTTACTTACCTTGCAATGACGACGACGATGTACTTGAAGCTGCAATTGGTCCACTTGCATCCACGGAGAGGCCTTTTGGTTTAAACCTGTTTACATTCAGCTTGTTGCTGGAATCGAGATCTGAGGCTTTCGGTAACTGGAATTTACGTTTAGATGGTGAACTATTGGAGCTGCTACCAGCTCTATTATTGTTATTATTTGAACTGGACATCCTTTGGAAGCTTCATGTTGAGCTTTGAGACCACCACCAAACAAAGTCATATTAGAGTCGATATTCCAGAACGCGTAAAGTCTGATAAGGATGGCATTTCTTTGCTTTTGGTCGCGGGAATGATGAGCTTTGGACCCGTGTATAAGTACGAATTGTTTACGAGGGATGCTTGTGATTTCCATGATTTGGAGTGTCATTTGTGGCTGCTTTAGACTTAAATTGTAAGAGCTACTCATCTTGATAGCTATTCATCGTCAAGCGTACGTCTTTCGCATCGACATGAAAATCGAATTTGCGGCCAAAGCTCGTTGCTGACCAACCTCTTCTCCTATCAGAAGGTGGATCGCGGAAGGACTACCCATTGTCATGGATATGCAGAAAACACAACGATGTTGACTTCTCGCGCTGTTCGTTTGAAAAAATATTTGCATTTTGCACAAATTGTATGTTGCTTCGATTGTTATCACATTCTATTCCATTCTAATAACGTCACCTACTCTTAGCAAGCTCTTCCAAATTTTTTACACGTAACGGCGTATCAGCAAACAAGGCCCTAACCAATTTCTGAATCTCAAGACTCGTAAACTCCTTCTTCAATTCCCGAGATCTCCATGCCTCCATCAAATCTTTGAAACTCATAACCAACATCCCAGCCAGTTTACTAAACCTGGATCGATTGGATACGTAGAAATCCATTGCCATATTTGCATTCGTCATGTTTGTATCGTCTTGTGATTGCTGTTGTTGCAAGTGTGGATGCGAAAACAAGTGTGTTTCGCCATCTAGTCGTGATAAAAGGGCATGCAGACGATGAGATTCGGATTCACCAATGTCTACCAGTGCTAGTGTTTCTGCTGCTGCTCTTGTTTGAGCTGTGGCGACTAATAGACCCATAGCGCGGAGGTAGACGTGGACTGGCAATGTGTCCTATAGTGATCAGTATCAGTAGGTCCATCTTGTGTGAGTTTGCTGCCTGAATGTCAAGCAAATGAGTAATTTTTGCCTTACCTTCCATGCTAACGACAACGATGAGAGAATAGACAACACTTCCTCAACTGCGGTTTTGACATCTGCGTATCGATCATCTTCCATGACATCAAATCCTTCTGGTGATGCCAAAATTCGAATAATCACATCTCGTTGCTTTTGCTAAAGAGCAAGAAAGCTTGTGAGATAGGCCGCGATTCGAGTTTGAAATACGCTCTTATTGCTTTTGCGAGGCAATACACAAGTGTGCCTCTTCAACGTTGTGACTCCTCACCACTGTGACTTCTCAACATTGTGACATACCAATTGTACGTTAAATATCCGTATTCCAACTTCTCCACATCCAAACCCTACTCCACCAGCAACAATGAACTCCTTCAGGATACGTTGCGCTTGTAGCGGCAGCCGATTAGAGTACTTGAGCGCGAAGAATCGTAACTTGTACGTCAAGTACATGCAATTGTTGTGAAAGAGTGCAGCCATGTCTGGCTGACTTTCCAATTGTATCGATTTCCGAGTTGTTGTTATCGATACATATAGACCCAGACATGATAGTGCTGAGTATACTTGTCTTGTCGCACTACAAATATCAAAGGATTAGATTATAAAATGAGAAACAAAATTATTGAAAGGAACCGTGGAGGACGCATCGCAAGCAATTGCAGATACTTGCCAGTACGTATTCAATCTGGAAGCTTCTTGCAAAGCTTGTTCAACTAGTTCTAATAACTCCAGAATACAAGAACTGATTGCACAAGTTGGAAACTCGTACAAGTTTTCAGTCAATTCTGGTACTGGATCATTATTTGATACCAACATTGGTATGTCATCTAGTCCTAGTTGAGCCCATTTGATTGGACCTGTTGACGAACAAGAGAATTAGCCATGGAGAAAGATCCAACAATAAACTTTTGTATTTAATTTCAGACTGACCTCGATCTGATGTATGTACAACAGTTGAATATCTTCCGGAATCCTTAACCAAAGTGTCTCGTGCTTGACTCAACAATGTCTCATGTTTACGTTGAGCGAAATGAACGTCTATACCATCGCAGTATTCAGATAAGACGTACTCTCCCTCTGGCACAAGACCTTTTGAAAGGTGAGGTTTCGGCCAAAGGAAGACCACAACAATACTCCAGGCATACCTCTATCACACATATATCTCTCAAAGGATCTCAAAGCAATAGCAACACCTTCAAAATTCCTTAAATGACTAGCGACAGTCGGTACGGCCTTGCTAGCATACTCATCCAAAATACATTGGGCAACCTTCTTCCATATCAGCCCACCAAATACGGGCAACACATCCGCATGTAAGCCAGCGACTTGAGACTCAATGAATGACAGACATATCGTCAAAGCATTGAATAGTGCATCGGGAGATTGAGTAATCCAATTGTTAGGTTTGGATGGATTTGGTATTAATGAGAGCCGAGTTGCGGTAGGTGATGCGGTTGTGATTGCTATATCGAATTGAGCATTCTGACACAGAGGGGTGATGATGACTCGTAAGAAGGCTTGAGCAATGGGTTTTAGGTGTTGCTGGATTGTTTCGAGGGTTGATGAGGCAGCCAGTACAGTAAACAGTGGTACTTCCTTGTCTAAAAGACCGAAAACATAAGCGTCATTACTTTTACCATGATGGTGTATGCTTCCTCGCTCTACATGGGTGTGCTTACCAGGGGTAGAAGACTTGATTGTCAACGTATGCACATGAGTGTCTCGTGCAATGTCAAGAATTACGCATAGTGACAGTGCAGTTTCTAGTTCTGATTGTAGCGATTCTCGAGCTCTTATAACTTGATTCTAGGGAGAAAAGGCGGGTCATTGAGTGGAACCAAGCTCTGTACTGACTCGGAGTGATGGCGAATCGATAACAAACCCTCAAAATCCCAAATATCGGAATCTCGGCACCTTCTGGTAGTTCATCAACACGGACTTCCAGGTTCGACAAGCTGGAAGCAGCCTCCCCATAACTTGCCGATGATAATGATGCGTCGTATTCGTCCAGTTGCAGCTTGATCTGACACAAAGAGACACGTTTGACAGTCAGTACTACTGTTGCTTGATGAAAGCTGTACCATTTTGAGAAAAATTCGAACCTGTTGAAGCTTCTGAAGAATCGTCAACAGTTCAGTTGACTGTATGCAATCCAACTCGGTTTGTTCTTCTTCTCGTTCAATCTTTGCAAGTGACTCTTCCAGACCATCCTACATACAAGAACATCCGTAAATGCAACAGTTCTGAAGACAAAATGTCAAGCAATCTCGCGCACTTGAGGATGAGACAATGTCGAATGAAAGTTCTCCATAAGTGTATTCAAACCCTCGATGCGTGATAACACTTCAATAGTAGATTTCACGTGTGATACTAGAATATTTTGATCTCCCTGGACGCGTTCCTGTACTTGATTCTAAGAAAGAAGCTGTTAAGAGCTTTAAGTTCGACAAAACATTCAAATGTCAAGCAAACCAAGACATACAAGAACTTCGTCCAATTTTCTATTGCTAATTTCAAATCCATATTCGAAACCAGCACGTGACGTAGCGAATTCCAACGAGTTTGCATCGGGAAACGTTAGTTTATCGATTGATTCCAGTGCTTCTTCTTCTTGATTGGATTCAGTAAGTGCTGTAACTCGACTTGAATATTCAGTGGCATTCATTCTAATATAGATATCTGCTTTAATAGATCGTGTTCTTCATAAGTCTCCTCGTTGAAATCTAGAATTTTGATGTTTGGAAGAAGCGGAGAAGCTTCAAACTTTGGATACTATTTGGACGCTATGGACGTGATAAATCGTGACACATGCACCTATACTGCTTGCTATTGTGAAGAAAATACGTGGAAGTTGATTGTCGACAATCTACTGCCGAAATCAAATGATGTCTATGCTGTTTTCGTGTCAAATGCCTCTAAATCTGTAAGTGCTCTACTGCAAACTGTGCCAGCCTCGCGCAGGTGGCGGCATCAACTCGTCTCTTGTCTTTATAGGTTCCATTTTGGTTTCAGAGGGCCGCGTCGCGTCTTCTTAGTGATCTTGTTTCTTGGGTAATGCTTTTATTTGTCGGAAAGACTCCTGCGTTGGTCTCTTACCAGTGAACCCGTCTTGCCCTATTAGGACTATCATGTCTTTGCTATGGTTAAGAATGCAAACGGGTCTGTTGTATACGATCTCGACACAACGTTACCATTTCCTTGCGACTTCCAACGATATGCGGATAAAGCACTTCGAGTGAAGCAACCCCTTTATGATAAATTCAAGAGGTACCTGCTCCGTAAACCCTCGTTAACAAAGAGCTCAACCTACGTACATAGGAAATACAGAGTCATTGAAGCAACAAACTTTGTAGCCCACTTCGCCTCTGATCGAAGTCATATGGTACGTTCCTTTTGAGTCGTTGCATCGCCTTCTTAATACATTCAAATTCACGTATGGTTGATCTATAGCGTGGAGCTCGTGGTACATTTTCGGAACCGCCGCCGACATATCCATGTATTCAAACGCTAGGTCAGTTCAAAGCATGAATTTAGTGCAGCTGCGGAGAATACTCACATGCTGACGCTCTTAGATTCGACAATGAATTTGGATCAATACATTGACATGGAGGAAAACACGACATCTGAAGTGTTTGGTAGGGTTTTATCTGAAGAGGAATTCGTGGAGCTCTTTTCAGATGTATCATGAAGAATGATCTGATGCTATAATGTACATACATGCTAATTCGATACCGCCATCGATGTGTGATGTTCTTTGCGTCCGTTGTATTTGTTGCTCCGCTTCAGGATCAATCACTGTCTATAAGCGCTCAAACACTCTATAGGCTCAGAAAGTCAATTTATTGCGTTATGTCTTCCGACTATGCTCGAATCCTGTAATAAGAATTATTACA